AATGTTTTTATGATTTATTTGCTTGTTTTGGGCGCACAGTTACGTAATATGCGAGCGGCGCTGACGTCAATATACGTGGAGTCGCCGATCAATAAGTTTGCCGTCTCTGAGGCCGACAATCTGATAGCCATTCCGCTGGACAATCGACACGTGCGGGTGTACGACCTGTCCGGCAATCGGGTGTGCCGTCTGTCCCGTTCACAGCACGACCGTATGGTCACGTGCTGTGCCTTCGCGGCCCTCAACCAAACCAATAGCACCCACTTATTCACGTGTTCTTTCGATAGAAGGGTTTGCCTCTGGAATATTGTCACTGAAATCAAGTCTTAACTTATTATTATTCCTCTTCTTCTTCTACTGCTTCTGTCCTTCACTTTCTAAACCTATAATTAATTGTGTTTTTCTATTGTATTATATATTAGTTTTAATTGACTATTGTTTTCAAATATTATTTATTTGGTTTGATTTTATAATTAATTTGGTTTTTACGGTAATTATTATCAGTTATTTTTGAGGAGACTTTAAAACGAGAATATTTTTGCCTCATTTCGTTTGAGTGATAACTTGTTTTGGCTGTCGTTTGAATCTTACAACAAATTGCTAAAAACCTTATTAATTAATAATTATTAATTATAATAAATCAATATTAATAATAATAGTGTTGTGTTTTAAAAAATAAATTATTTTTATTTATTCAAGAGATATGTATAATATATAAGCTATTTATTCAAAATGATAATAAAAACAAAGTATATTTCAATTGATTTTTGCAATCAATTCAAAGCAAATATAAAATTTTTGAAAATTTCATTGATTTTTATCGCTATTTTAAAATTGATTTTTGATTATTTGACTATTTTATTGTTTTTCCCACTAATCTATGGTAGACTTTAAAAGGCCATATCCTGTGGCGTGTGTTTTGTGGTGATATGTTGTACGCGATCTGCCGTTCATGTGATACGAGCCTTGTTTTCAGAGGCCTTGGAAGTGGAAAACGGAATTTTATTATATATTTGATCGTCAAATAGTACTGTATATTGATTTTGTTATAAAAATGAAATGAATATTCATTTCACATTCGTTGACCCAAATTCTGTATCCAAACACTGCTTTATATCCAAACAGTCTTTTTGATGATAACAACCATTCGCTTTCAATTTTATGTTTAATACAAATATTTTCTTTTGTTTTAATAATTATATTTTTATTACAAAACTCAATGATCTTATTCTTCAATCTATATAATAATGTATACATATATTTGTCGCATAAAAATAGTGCATAAATCTTATCAAAAGTTAATGTCATGTGATTTTGTCGTTGAGATACAAAAAGAGTTAAAAACATAAAAACAGATTAAAACAGAGATTTTAAAAACAGATCTAACAATATATAGCCGTTAAATATACAAGTCTTGTAAACGTGTTTAAAATGCAATCTTTAAAAAACAGACAGAAAGACGTAGAGATGCGTCGCGTTTCTCAGATGAAGTACTCTTTCTTTTTGGTGACATCGGGTCCGGTCTTGCCTTTGACGACAGCGGTGTCGGGGTCTAAGGCGTGTTGCGCCCCCTTGTCTTCGTGGGTCACGTAATCGCCTTTCTGTCGGGCGACGAACCGTCCGCTCGCGAACAGACCCAAAATGATTATCACAATAATGGCTGCGATAACGCCACCGATGATAGCGCCGGTGGACGCCGTCTGCGGAATGGTTGGCATTTGCTCTCCCGGTGCTAATGTCGGCGGTGGACGGGTTACCGCTGGTTCTGCGCAAAGAGATGAGTCATATGTCAGTACTAATCGATAATTATCTATAGACTATGTGTCCAAACCGGGCGGATGTGTTGCGGGTTCGATACCACAGGTGTCTTCGTAGAGCTCTGCGCCGTCCGGATACGAGCGAACGTTTGTGCGTCTGTTCTCCTGATATAGCCGTCGGAGCGGGAAGTGATCGTCGAAAGTGACTCGAGATATACACCCTATAAAGCCGTCTCCCGTATCCATTGTCTCATTGCGTCCGATGTATATACTCTTCAGTCGATTGAACTGAGCGTCCGCTTTGCCCCGAACTCCAAACGTATAGATCTTCGGCTCATAATTGTCCACCTGTTTGGATACAAATGGGTTATAATTAAACCAAAACATAATGAATATACAAAATTCATACCCAAATGGTAATCTTCGCGCCTCTATTGGACCGGCGAATAGTGATGTCGTGGTGTTGTCCTAAAGCAAAGTTCTCCTCTTTTATGATAATCTCGTGTCTCTCGAAACCAAAATCAAACACAAGTCTTAAGTGACCTAATAATGCAAAAAACAAACATATTTTAAACAACACTTCCAGTAAAGAGGATCTGTTAGAGGATGACTACTAACCGCTGTTAGACATGAGAAGATTGAGATATTCGTCTGTAAAAGAGGAAATGCCGAGAATGAGTCCCCTGTGCTCTGTAGTCGTGAAACCAACTCTAATGTACTCTTCGAGCGTCGAAATGGATGTCTCGAAGTCGTAACGTATAAACAGATCTGACCGCAAATTCACACCGATCTCATCCGCACAAATGGGTCCCTTGAATGCCGTCCACTGACAGTCGCAGGTATAGCCGTTGTAGTGGTCAATACAAGTGCCGTTGTTTAGACAGGGATTGGACTCGCATTTGCCGACACATCCCTTAGTGATGCCGTACATGCCTTCCATCGCATATCGGCCCAAATTGATGGCCTCGCCGTTGATGAGCAGCGATCGAAGGCACCCGACATAGCCTTCCCTGTACTCAGCGGTGGCGCCGATCACGAAATGAGAGGTCAAGTGTAATGGACGGACCAGTCCTCCAGTGATCCTTTGTTCGTTAGTCAGTTGGCCGTCGATCACAAGTCGGGCCTCTTTCTTGTTCTTCTCGACTAACACTGAGTGCCAGTTATTATCGTTCAGACGATACGAGGCCTCAACGGAGACCTGTTGTAAGCCATTGCCCGCAGAATACGAGAACTGAATGGTCTTTCCGTTAACAATCGACAACTTCACGAAGTCTTCGGGCCCTCTATTGTGGAACAGAACGCCGTATTCAGCGGTGGTCTTGAACTGCAGGTATATGTCGACGGCTGAGCCGAAGTCAAAGGGGGACAACTCGATGGTCGCGTCTTCGTATCGGAATGTAATGATATCGTCGAAAAGTGTGTCGCCTTCGCATATCAACGGACCCAATGTGTAACGACCGGCGCGTCTCGATTGGGCGGTACCGCCGGTGTCGCCGAACCTCAACTGCCGCACCGGTAGGTATTCGCGTTGCGTTAGGTCTCCCTCATCGACGTAATACTCGTTCTGAGTGAGCAGTTCCTGAGGTTTTCAAATTAAAAACACATTAATTCTAGTCTTAAAACACAAAACCGATGAACGGTTTAAATAAGGACTAACATTAGCGGCGTCACAGTTGCACCACTTTCGCGGGTCTTTACACGTGCCGTATAGACCGCACTGGCATTTGCGAGAGCCGGGCAGTCCTCCGCCCCAGTAATCCATTTTCTGGTTATTCCTCGACACCCACCACGAGAACGGTTGCAATTCCTTACCCAACGGAGCTGTCAAATGGTAAATCAAACCATACATTATATAACTGTTGAAAACCATAGAACATGTCTTAGGAGTAAATACCGGGTGTATTGAGTAGTCTGGCGTTAAGGCACTCGTACTTCAACTTCTGCTGACAACTATTGGATCGGTTGACGACTTCGACGATCTGCTCGAAGGGCGCGTCGTATTTGATGTCCTGTATGTAAGAACCGGGCAAATGATAGCCGCGTACTTCAGTGGCCTCTTCGTTGCGGTGATGTATAATGATCTGCGACTGGTCTTCGGTGGGGAACAGACACGTGGCCCAGAATGGCTCCAACGGACCGCTTCCGTCCACTCGGGCAAATGATAGCCGCGTACTTCAGTGGCCTCTTCGTTGCGGTGATGTATAATGATCTGCGACTGGTCTTCGGTGGGGAACAGACACGTGGCCCAGAATGGCTCCAACGGACCGCTTCCGTCCACATCTAGCATAACGTCGGCTTTCCTGGACTTAGGATTGTCTATCTTATAGGCAGAACAGGACAGCGGATGTCTGGCCACGTGACACACGGCACCCAAATAGCCGGTTAGAGCGCAGTCACAGTAGAAGTCGATGTTGTCCTGTCGGCAGACGCCTCCGTGTTCGCAGGGGTTCGGATGGCAGCGGTCTATCAGTTGACACGCTTTGATGGTTATGTCACTGTCTTGTAGTTTGACCACTCGGTCGGCGGGCAGTGTCTCCACATTCACATACCGGCCCTCGATGTATATCCAACGCATGCAACCGATAAAACCGGTCATTCCGTGATAACCGCCGCCGATTAGATACATCTGTCCCGTAAACATCTCGAAAGAACGGGTAGTAATGCTCGGGATGTGATCGATGGACAAAATGATTTTGTCTTTTTGTAGAACCAATACCACTGAATGCCATAAACCATCGTTCAGTTTCGGGTCAAACGGTTCTAATTGGACAACAGGTGTGTTCGAGCCCTGAAACTTGATTATGATTTTGCCCTTCTCTAGGAATAGCTAACAAATCATTGCAAACGACATCAATAAGTGGTTAGATATATGACCACAATATTGTCCATTAAAGACATACCATAACAAAGCCAGCGCTGGAGAACTTGTGGTACAGAAGAAGTCCGTCTTCATTGAATGTCCTGAAGTCGAAACTGGTGTTCATAAAGGGAACCATAAATCCCTCCACTTTGATGTAAGACTCGCCCGTATTGAACGTTATGGGAACCACTTGTGGGAACTGTTATAACGATTCAAACACCAATTAAAACAAGTGTCGACTAAACCAAAAGTGATGGACACTTACGAGACACGAGTACTGGATTTGCCCGAGTTTTCCGTACACGAAGTTTCTGTCGTCCATTTGGATCTCATACGCGATGTTTGTCGAATTGAAGGTCAAATTCTCGATACAACCGCTGAAGTTCTGTCTGGTGTTCAACGGGTCGTCGATTTTAATGGGAATACCGCCGATGAAGAGGTCGTGATTGAGATTAAGGCGCATGTAATCACTTTTGAGGAAATGTCGGACTAACACGCGGTCAACGCTGAACAGTACGTCGCGACCTCTTCGCGAGATCAACACGTCGTGCCATAGATTGTCGTCGAGTAGACTCCCGGCAGAAATGGACTCAATAAGGCCTCCGC